CCCCATTTGGGGTCGAATGACCATTTAACGGGGGTCGCCAAACCATACTGTCCGCCATTTTTTTCCCTAGCTGTCCTACTCCCTCTTATTGGTGGCCACACCCACTTGGGGGTCACCACAACATGGGGAACTGTATTATGGGGTCACGGCATTAGAAAGGTTGAGAATCACTGCTTTAGAGCAAGGAAAAATAAAACGTTCTAGTCTGCCATTCTATGCTTTACTACTAGTTTCCTATTTAAAAAGATTTAATATGTTACAAAGATGGCTTCTCTGAATGAGGAAAGTTTGAACTGGCACCATGCATTTTTACAACACCAAGGCGCTACCATCTCCTTCTGGTGAGGTAAACTTGTATATTCTTACAAGACAGAGAGAAAAACAGAAGAAGGGACACCCATTTTTGCAGACTTCTTCCAAAGATAAGAGAAATTTAAGGGATCTACTAACAACCAGCAGAAATCTCCTTTAAGGGGCATTTCGAATTGGGAAAAGTGCAAGAAGAGAAAGCATTCAAACCACTCCCATTTTAAGTTTTATTAAAAAAAAATAAGCAAGTTGAAGTTATTATTTAAATAATAATAATAATTGGCAGAAACGGTAAGAGATGTCCCAACGGTTGCAGAGGAGATGATGCAAAGCAGAGCACACACCATATTCTTATTATAGGAAAGATGAATTATCCCCCTTTTTTAAATATCTCCTGCAAATCCAGGCCCCTCTATCGACTCAGTCCCCTCTCCTCAAACCCCCAGCCTGGTTTCACCTCAGACTGCATAGTTATTTTGGACCTGAAATCCCTGATGGGGAGTGAGAATTGACTCCTACGATGGGAATCGGAAGGAGCTTCCCTTCTCTTCCCCCCCCCCCCCCAGGCGATCTGAAGCCTGTCGGGCGGGAAGAGGAGGCTTCCCATTAAACACCCGGGGTTACTCCCGGGTAAAAAGGAAAGGGCGGTGCAACAGTTCGCCCGCGTGCTGTTTAACCTTGGCGCGAGGAAAGCGTGGAGAATTATCACCACGATCGTTATCGCCGCGCACGGGAGAGGGTTCACCGCCCTCCTGCAGACCATGCCCCCACAAAGCCCTCCCCGGGAAAGCGGTCGGGCTCTCTGCGGATGAGCCGGAGCTCCGAGCTCCCGGGAAGGGAAATGGGAAACTCCGCCGGCCCGGCCTGAGGCGGCTCTCGGCGCACGCGAGCGGGAGAGGCGCGGCCAGACTCACCTCAAAGAGCAGGCCGCAAGCGTCGCCTCACGCGCCGCCGGAACACGGGAGACCGGCGGGGACCGCGCGAGGACCTGGTGGAAGTCAGGGACGGCTGGCCCCGCCCCGCCATGCCCCGCCCCTCTGGGAAAGGAGAGAGCGCGCGCCACCACGCACGCGCGCTGCCTTCCCTCTCTTTCGGGAGGTCTCCCGGACGTGGGTGAGAGGTGGGGTGGCTTGGGGTGGCCTTGATGTGGGTTCAGCCGTGGTCCTGGGGAAGGAGCTCAGGTCTCCTGTGATGCAGAGCGTGACCCCTGACCCAGAGCATCCAAAAGTGGATGGGGTAGCCGTGCAACCCCCAAGAGGATCTGAATACAGTTGGTTATCTGCAGCAGTTTCAGTCAAAGACTTGGCCCAGGGATGCATTTGAACGTTGACATTGGAGAAGATTCCGAAAACATCATGGACAGCCAAAAAAAAAAAAAAAAACTATGGTTCATCCAACAAATCAACCTAGTGTTCTCATCGAGACCCAAATGCCCAAGCTTAAATTACATTCTTCTTCAGACACGTTATGCCATGGTTCTCAACCTTTTTAATGCCGCGACCCCCAACCGGTCGTAAGTCGAGGACTACTCAACCGGTCGTACGTCGAGGACTACTCAACTGGTGCAGCACCGTTTGCAGAATGGGACATTTGGCGGGCTCAGCAGGGCAGAGACAACCTGGACAATTCCTATTGGGCTTTTGAAAGCCAATAGAATTAGACTCTATTCAAGAGAGTCTATTCTATTGGCTTTCAAAAGCCAATAGTATAAAAGGGAGTAGCACAGCTAAGGAAAAGGGGGAAAAAATGGCGGACTGCGTTGTTTGGTGACCCCGTGAAATGGTTGTTCGACCTCAAATGGGGTCCCAACCCACAGGTTGAGAACCACTGCGTTATGCAAACGTGTAGAGAAGGCTTACAGAATAACAGAGTTGGAAGGGACCTTGGAGGTCTTCTTGTCCAACCCCCTGCTCCAGCAGGAGATCCAGTACCATTTTAGAAAATGGCTGCCCAATCTCTTCTTGAAAGCTCTAATGCTGGGAAAAGTGGAAGGAAAGACAAGAGGATGACCAGCAGGGAGGTGGGGGGGGGCTCAGTTATAGAGGTGAAGGGTGCATATTAGAAGAAATAAAGAACAGGTTAGAGACAGGTTGTTGCAGGGGGGGGGGAATCTATATAATCACTAAGAATTGAAAATTGGTTGATGATTAATGATCATTAAAGTTGGCTATCGGTATAATGTTAGGTATGTTGAATTGCCCCAAATATATAAAAGGCAAGATAAAAAGATAATGCTAATGGAGAACAAGTTGAAATCAAATCTACCCACAATGGAAAAGCTGTTGTAAGTAAGCTAGATTCAAGGCATCTACTTTATATTAGATGATTGCACTTTCTATAATTAAAAGAGCAGGTAGAGCATGTGGTAGGTGGTCCTTGATCTTCAGCTGTCACTGGATTTGCAGATGGTAGTTGTGGCAAAGGCAGATGTTTACAGTCATGACCCTTCAGCTACAATCCTTCCTGAATTAGTTTTGATTTGGCAATTTTAGCTTGGTTACGCACAACCTTAATTATTGCAATGTATTCTATGTGAGGCTACCCTTGGGAGGCATCTAGAAGTTGCAATTGGTGTAAAATATGGCAACCGGGCTATCTTCTTTTTTGACATAAATACTGGCTTAATAGATGAGAATGTGATTCACACAGCAGTACCTACTGCTACAAAGCCTTCAACAGACCTTCCCCTAATAATTGTCTTTAATAACCTGATAAAATACAGGGTAGTTGATACTAGTATTTGATGGATTCATAGTTGGATGAATGACCATATCAGTACAGTGCTGGTTAATGGCTCTGCTTTTGCTTAGAGAAAAGTGTTGAGTGGATGATTATCAGGTTTGCAGATGACACAAAGCTAGGAAGAGTAGCCTTAGAGGAGAGACTTTAATAAACCCACACAGCCTTCAGCTGGGTGCTGAAATGAATACAATAGAATCTGCATCTGGGGAGGAAAAATGAAAGGGCCCCAAGATTCCTGGGCTGAAAGATTTCTACTGATTGCCAGTTGTTTTCAAGGTAATATTAATCTTTAAAACCCTAAATGCTTCGGGTGTGACTATCTGAGGAAAAGCCTCTCTCGTTATCAAATTATCTTGCTAAGTAGAAGTTTACATATCTGGGAATTGGGCCAAGACCTTCTGTGTCACTTTTGCCTTATAGAATGCTTTTAAACATTTTGTTAGAGGCATTGAGTGCTATTTGTTCTATAGAAAAGTGGAGTTTTAATTGAATATGTTAAATTGTTCAATGAAGATTGTTAGTCAGACTAAGAGTAGCACAGTGTGTAAACTTAATTCATAGAGTAATGAAAATTATCTCCTGCCCATAAACTCTATATTAAAAACAGGTCTTTGAAAATTACAAAAAAAAAAAGACATCATGTCATCTAAATTTCAAAGGAGGGAGTGGGTTGCAGGCCTATAACTCTCCCCACTTTTTTTTCATTTAGCATAATATTTTTCTTTATCCCATTTCACCTGTAGACCGAAATGGAACCCAGCCCTACCAGTTCAAGATGATATCAGCTTTGTTTTTCTCCTCATGCTTTTATGCAGCCTTGTTGTATATTCAAAACACATATATATATATATATATATATATATATATATATATATATATATATATATATATGTTATTATATTTAATTTTTTTTTGTTAAGTGAATGGCTGCTCACAGAAGTTGATGCCACTATATTCCCAAGAAATACCAGTATGCCCATGGACATGTCATCAGGCACTTGCTGGGATTTCTACTTTACTTCTTCATTGCTAAAATGTTTCTGAAGCTCCCATAGCATAGCATAGATATAAATTATTTGAAAATCAACTTGGCAATTGGATATAGTCCATTTTTTTGTGTGGTGGTGGTGGGGAAATGTCCACACATGCCAGGATTCTACATGGGAGAAGACAAAATCTTTCAGAATATTGGGAAATATATGGGCCTCATCCATATTATTTGATGGCTGCATTCCCATGACTGATCAAGCCACAGTCAACAGTCAACCCCATTAGCATATTTGTACTTGGTTCCACTTGGTTTTTGCTTTAGATTAGAATAATGTTAATAAATGTAGTTTGAAAAGCTCTATGGACTTTTTCCCCCTTTATTATGTAAAAAATAATAATTAGTTTGAGTAATGTAATGTAATGCCAACAAAAGTGCGTATAGTCCAGGCCATGGTTTTCCCAGTTGCAATGTATGGCTGTGAAAGTTGGACCATAAGAAAGGCTGAGCGACAAAGAATTGAGGCCTTTGAGCTATGGTGCTGGAGAAGACTCCTGCGAGTCCCTTGGACTGCAAGGCGTTCAAACCGGTCAGTCCTAGAAGAGATCAACCCCGACTGCTCTTTAGAAGGCCAGATCCTGAAGTTGAAACTCAAATACTTTGGCCACCTAATGAGAAGGAAGGACTCACTGGAGAAGGGCCTAATGCTGGGAAAGATTGAGGGCAATAGAAGAACGGGACGACAGAGAATGAGATGGCTGGATGGAGTCACTGAAGCAGTAGGTGTGAACTTAAATGGACTCCAGAAGATGGTAGAGGACAGGAAGGCCTGGAGGAACATTGTCCATGGGGTCGCGATGGGTCGGACACGACTTCGCAATTAACAACAACAACAACAACAAATGTAATTTTCACAAGATGAACTGGTCAAAGTCAGTATCCAATGAATGAGTGGGTCAGCGCTTATTGTGACACAAGGCAGCCAGTGGGTCTAGGCAACAAGAAGTCAGTCAGACCTGGGAGGACCTGGAGAAATGATCAGGGGGAGGAAGGAAGCTAAGGGTTATGGAGCAGGAAGAAGGAATCCAAGTGGTTTCAGACCAAGAGACAAATGCTGCAGTGAAGAGTAGGGAGCTGAATGAAACAGTTCAGGAGCAGATCACAGAGCTGGAGATGAGGAATCAGGAGAACAATCTAGAGCAAGAAGAAGAAATATCAGAAGATAACACAGAGCTGAATGGAGACATCCCAGGGGAGAATGGAAGGGATTGTGAGTTTGTGGCTGGAGCTCGGCCAAAGATCAAAGAACAAGTTCAAGGAGGACAGGAAGTATTTACAGAACAGTCTGATGAAGTCCTAACAAGGAATGAAGAATCAGTTGGGGCAGGCCAAGATTTTTTCAGAGGCTTTTCTGTAGGACCTCACAAGAAGATCCTGAGGCAGGCTGGGAGATCCTGGGAAGAAGTCACAGAGAGAGTGGGAACAGGACAGAGCCAGATGGCAGAAGAAGACAGCCAAGGCCAAGAGGCAGGCCTAAAGCTAGTCAGAGACCTGTTGGCAGTTGTCACCAGGTCTGACCTTCCACTTGAGGAAAAGTTGGAGTTGGAATTCGTGACCCTTCAGTTTATGATGGGAGGCAACGTGCATTTGCTTGGGGAATTGCAAAGCCAGGCGGTGGTGGAGAACTTCCGACAGGAAGTGTTTGCAAAATTCCCTATACCAGCTTTCCATGTGACCAGCTCAGTGATCTGTTGTGATCAAGCTGCCAGCCAGTGGCCTGACAGGTCTCAGCTCTTGAATGAAAATGGCTGTTCCAGACAACAAGAAAGAATCTACTCCCAGCTCATCTTCTTCCTGTGCAGAGCCCCTTTCCTTAAATCTTGGGACCAACTGGATCGACTGGCTGAAATGCTACACAAGCTGAAGAACTGCATCTATTACAACCCAGTGGCCTTGGTTGGAGTCATTGTGCAAGTGGATCCAGACCCAGGATTGGATGCAGAACAGGAGGCCCGGGCACGGCGCTGGCTGAGATGCTTGCTAGATGGGTTCTTTTGCTGTGATTTGTTGTTAGACCACGATGGGACAGAACCAGAAGTTCAGGTCCAGGTAGCAGTCTATCAGTCAGGCCAACCCGAAAGAGCTTTAGAAGTCAAGAGAGCAGCTTGTCAGGCAATTCGAGCAGCCCTGAAGTTCTGAATGGGCACAACGAATGACCACTCTGATCACATGAGGTAAGCTCAAAGACCTGGAATAACTGTGTGCCTTTGGGTCTCCCATTATCCTGAACTAAAGTTTATTTTAACAATGGTTTGTTGAGTAAGCCTCAGCACAGTAATTCGGCATATACAACATGCCAAGGCAATGTCAAGCAACCTCCATTTGCTTCTAGCACTGATATTATCTTGATGGGTAATGGAACATCTGCACAAAAACAACCAAGCTCAGAGAGCATCAAGGGCCCCACAATATCAAGCAAATTTGGGACTTATTAAAAGAAGGAATTAATATGCCAGTTAGGTAATTAGAGCACCAGGCTAGGAAATGGGAGACCGTGAATTCTAGTCTCGCATTAGCCATGAATGCCAGGTGGGTGACCTTAGGCCAGACCGTCTTTCCCAGCCCAACTCGCTTCACAGAGTTGTTGTTGTGAAGAAAATAGGAGGAGGAAGGTGTGTTGGATATTTTCGCCGCCTTGAGTTATTTGTAGAAATAAAGGCAAGATACAGATAAATAAAATCCTGCTTATACTAACACCAGTGGATAGAACATGTGTAGAGCAAGTGCTCAATTTTAAATAAGAGCCAAACGGGTATCTAGATGAGAAAGAAATAATTTTGTGCAGTAGGAGAAAATAAACCATCCATGCACTTGGGCCATGCCTGTTTTGAAAGATTCAAGGCAGTAGTTGAAGGTGGCTAGTTCAGACATCATACTCTGTCAGAGCCAGTTAGATAAAGTATTTATTAGATTTATGCTCAGAAGTTCAAGATACTAAATGTAGGATTTGTTTCTCTATTCCTTCCTCCCCCCAAACTCCCCGTTTTGTGAGACAGTTGAATTGAGAGAGAGTGGCCTAAAATCCAGTGAGTGTTCATGGCTGAAGGTGGATTAGAATCTGGGTCTTCAAAGTCCTTAACCAACACTTTACTCACTATAGTACACTGGCTCTCCTTGCAAATCATAGTGTGCATGAGCATTTGTGGTGGGGAGAGAATGGTAGCATGCAAATGCCTGACCTGTGTTCAGAAGTAATGGTATTAGGGGATATCCATACAGTAGTATCTGCAAGTGCTCCGTCATTGGAGGTTTTCAAAAACAGACCGGACAATCATTTGACTGGGAGGATATAAGGTTTGTAATAGTGGTGAATATATGTTGCTCAGGTGTGGGATGAGGGTGAAGGTTCGTTCTCCGAGCTTCTGGGTTGCCTGGTACTCCACAGGCAATTCCATCAAGAGACACATTGACTTACAACCAGCCTACAAACCCCTCAGAATCCAAATCAACTGCACAGCCAACCAGAGATAGCACCGGCCCTCAACCAATCCACGCAAGCCCCCTCCCCCCCAGCAGTTGACCTCCCAATAACCCTGATGTGAGGTAACGGACCCATACCATCGCCAGCCTCTCACTGATGACTTGTACCTGGCCCACTGATGATTGACACCCTCCAATGACCCTGGCCTGAAGTAACCTCCCAACAGAAGACCCATCACAACCCACTCTCTGATGACTCATCACAAGACCCTCACTTGACAAACCCACACCTGGAGCCCTTATAAGCAGAAAAGCACCGACATAGACATCCCCTAAACGGTGCTGAAGAGGTTACCTAGCTCGGTAATGGAACTTTTGGAAAACAGCCCACAAGCTCGGAGGACCAACCTCCACCCTCAGGGTAGAAGGTCTCCTGCCTTGACCAGAGAGTTGGACTAGAAGGGGTAGGCAACCTTGGCTCTTTTATGACTGAAATGGGTGGAGTGGTCAGTTGGGAGGGGGGGTCACTTGTATGGCATTTGGTTTGGGACTGTTCCCCTTCCTTTTAGCATTTGCATTAAGCCATTGGGGAGAGTTTATCCATCCGTCTGGCGGTGTGGTTTCATCAGTGTGAAAATGATTCATTATACATCACCACCCTGGGTCACACAGGGTCGCACCGTCATAAATATGAACTAGTTGTCAAGTGTCTGAGTTTTGAATACATGATCATGGGGGGATGCTGCGACAGTTGTTAAGTGTGAAAAATAGTCATAAATCACTTTTTTCAATGCAGTCACTGAATGAACTGTTGCAAGTCAAAGACTACCTGTACTTTTCCAGTCTGTTCAGAGGGGATATATTTGGGAAACTTGGCTAACTCATCTCATCCTAGCCCAGAGAAGAAACTGCCCAGTTTCCTAAGCAGTGCTGATAGTTGCCATTACATCCTTGGAAACCGGATGACCCAGATACTGAAGAACTGCTGACGTGAGCCGTGGTGGCGCAGTGGTTAGAATGCAGTCCTGCAGGCTAATTCTGCTGACTGCCGGCTGCCAGCAGTTTGGCAATTTGGCAGTTCGATTTTCACCAGCTGGAGGTTGACTCAGCCTTCCATCCTTCCGAGGTTGGTAAAATGAGGACCCAGATTATTGGGGGCCATATGCTGACTCTGTAAACCACTTAGAGAGGGCTGTAAAGCACTGTGAAGCGATATATAAGTGCTATTGCTATTACGTTTTAGCCTTTTCTCATCTGAGAAATTAGCTCTGATCAGAGTACCCAAATCAGGGCTTTATCAAGGAGTATATCCTACCCTGAAAGCATAACTGACTCCTTCTCCTTTCTAGTTCCCATGTCTAGAAAAAGCCAGCTTTTTCTCCCTGGCTTTTTCAAATAACAAATGTGGGGTTGAGTGGGTCCTGGGCACTGCCTTTATTGCCTTTGATGGTTATAATTGTTAAAATTGACCTCTTATAGGTGTTCCTCACTTAATGGCCCTAATTGAGTCCGGAATTTCCACTGCTAAGCAAAGCAGTCATTAGACAAAACATCATGTGCTTAACTTTAGCACTTCCGGTAGTCCCGATTGCCGTCCTTAACACGGGACTACATGTCATTCAGCAAGGACCTTACGCTTCTCCTACTCTGCCACGTTCGCCTCCGTTGCAGCATCTCTTTGGAAACTGCTGTCTAGTCCTTCTTCACTCCTGATTCATTACCCAACTGCAGACCAAAATCTCTTGATCAGGGCCTTAATTCAGTTACATTTTTAACAAGCACCTAGTTACATACACTTCCTTGTGCTTTTGTTTTCTTCCTTTCAATCATGTCTGATTCTTGAAGACTACATAAACAAGTCCCTGCATTTTTCTTGGCAAGGTTCTTCAGAAGTGGTTTGGCATTACCTCCTTTCTAGGGCTGAGGGAAAGTGACCGGCCCAAGGTTACCCAATGGCTTTGTGCCTAAGGTAGGACTAGAACTCATGGGCTCCTGCTTTCTGGCCTGAGGCCTTAACCACTACACTAGATTGGACCTCTAGTGCAGTGGTTCTCAACCTTTTTAATGCTGCGACCCCCAACCGGTCATAAGTCGAGGACTAAACCGGTCGTAAGTCGAGGACTAAACTGGTTGTAAGTCGAGAACTACCCAACTGGTCGTAAGTCAAGGACTTTCCCTGCCCGGGAGCGCCGCGCATGCATGGTGCCGCCCCCTGCGCCGGCCGAGGCGTAGCTGGCAAGTGGCAGAGACGGAGCAGGCCGACCACCGGCTGGGCCACCAGCTGGCCCAGCCCAAGGGAAGTAAGGCACCCGCCGGAAAAGGGGAAAAAAATGGCAGACAGCCTTGCTTGGCGACCCCCGTGAAATGGTCGATCGACCCCAAATGGGGTGGCGACCCATAGGTTGAGAACCACTGCTCTAGTGTGTTTCTTGGTGATCTATAATATAACAAGGTAATTTATTATAAATATTTCATAGTATTTCTAGATACCAAGGGGCAGTCAGGAACGACGTTACTAGAAGTCTGGAACCTTCAGTTTGTAATTGCCTTACTGAATAATTTTTCCTCCCTAAACATTCAATTCTATCAGCATCCAAAACTACTTTAAAGATTCATGTTTTTCTGTCACTTTTCTTTACAGATCTCCAGTAATGTGCAAGATCTCACCATCCCTGGAACATCATTTAAAATTCAGATTATTCCCTCCAAATTTTCTCTGTGTGTTCTTTGATTTTGGAATTGTTTACACCAATATGAAAATGTCTCAACATGTGGCAGCATTAGGCTGTTCTTGTCTGGGTCAGACCTGTTTAAAGATTAAAGGAAAGACCCAGGTATTCCAAAGCTGGAGGCTGGTTTGGGAAGTGTCCATCCATCCATCCATCCATCCACAAAAACGGTAGTAAGCAATTTCTGTATTGTTGCCAAAAAAACTTCATGGAAACTCACTTGGCAACAAGTTTGACTCGAAAAAGCCTTTACTTTTAGTATGAAAAAGCCTAGCTCTTGATACCCCAGGAAGAAAGGAGAGAAGAAATTTAAGGTCAGAGCAGTAGATGCTTTGATAAAGTCAGTCAAGATATACAAAATTCAAAATTGAGATAAGAAATACAGGTAGTCCTTGACTTACAACAGTTCATTTAGTGGTTGTTCAAAGTTACAACGGCACTGAAAAATGTGACTTATGACCATTTTTCACAGCTACGACTTTTGCAGCATCCCCAGGATCATGTGATCAAAAGTCAGATGCTTGGCCACTGGTTCATATTTATGACCCTTGCTGTGTCCCAAGGTCATGTGATCACCTTTTGCAAAGTCAATGGGGAATCCAGATTCACATAACAGCTGGGTTACTAACTTGTCAACTGCAGTGATTCACTTAAGAACTGTGGCAAGAAAGATTGTAAGATGGGGCAAAACTCACTTAAACATCTCGCTTAACAACAGAAATCTTGGGCTCAATTGTGGTCGTAAGTCGAGGACTACCTGTACCTATAGTTCTCAAGAGTTAAGGTCACTTAACAGCCATTCAATGTTACAGCAGACCCTCCCCCCAAGCTACTTATGACCCTATTTTGAAGTTATAGCTGCTGCAACACCCCGCCTCTCCCCCCCACCATTCCACCGCACCTGGACCCTGCAAGCTTTGGGCCTACTCACATTTGCCAACCTTCACATACTTACATTTTGAAGTTCTCTGGACTTCTTGTTGGGGAAAGAGGTGAGGCGATGTGTCCCTGGGCCACATGGCTGCCTCCTGGAAGTGGCCAGGATTTTCAGCGTGCCTGCAGTTCCTTGCGGGTACATTAAAATAGCAGCTGCTTTCATGGGACCACCACACAGCCTTTTTTTTTTTTTTGCCTTTACACTGTTTACACAGCACTGCAGCAAAAGCAGCAAAATGGAGCGGTTCATTCCTTGATCATAGTGCGGCAACCCAAAAGTGCGGCAACCCACATGGGTGTGCCAAAATGGCCACTTCTATGAGGCTGCCACACGGCTCAGGGACAAACTCGCATTTTGCTGCCTTACTGTGGTATGCACAGCGCAGCAGAAAGGTCTGCAGGGACCCGAGGGGTGGCAAGCAGCAAATGGGGTGTCTTGGGGAGGCAGCCTTGGCAAGCCTGTCTTAGGCCTCCAAAGACCTTCCCCACCTCTGAGGCCCATGCATTTAACAGCTGCATCAGGGAAAGCAGAGGGTGTGGGCCATTAAGTGAGCCCATCTTGCTTAATGGTCGTTACCACTTCCAGCTGTCACTAATGGGTAGGCTCCATTACAGTCATATCTCTAGGACAGTGTTTTTCAACCTTGACAATTTTAAGACATGTGGACTTCAACTCCCAGAATTCCACAGCCAGCAATGCTGGCTGTGGAATTCTGGGAGTTGAAGTCCACATGTCTTAAAATTGTCAAGGTTGAGAAACACTGCTCTAGGACCACCTCTGCGACAAAGAAAACTTATCTGATTATTCCAAAGTTAAGGTGCAATTGATGGAGATCGGACCAGGTAAGATAGAAAGGGGAAAAAAAACTCCTATGTAACCATTTCCCACTCAGATTAGAACTGTGGATCCCGGTTCTAATTTCCTGGAGAATGGCTCTCCTTGCATCTTTCCAGAAATTATTGGCACGTAGTCAAAAAGCCCATGATTATTTTGTTTAACACAAAAGTATTTCTGGTGCGAATACATAAGGAATTTTTATTTTTCCCTAAAAGGATCCATTTCTAGTCTGAAACCTGGCAGGCAGTTAAAAAGGAGTAAGCTTACATAGAAAATGAGGAACTAATATACATATTATAAAATAAAGTGAAAGACTGAGTGTTAGAAAACCTGCAATGACCATTAATAAAAGTTAAGGGACAAGCAAACCCCTCATTTCTTTTGTACTTCAGTTCTAATTTTCTCATGTGATTTCAAATCAATACAATTCAATGTTGCTAAGATGTTTTTCAAATTCTTTTCTGAATATAAGTATTTGTGCAATAAACTATACCAAAGAGAGACAAATCATGCAGAACTGTGAAATAGTGAAGGATTATGGATCAAAAGCAAAGTTTGTTTTGCTACTTGCGTATCTAGTTGCCAGTGCAGGTATGTGGTCTGGCTAGTCATGTTCATAGCAACAATACTGGGTTCTAAACATCTTAGAGCAGGGGTGTCAAACTTGCCGCGTCACGTGATGTGTTGCGAGATATCACAACTTTTTTTTGCATTGCCGGAGTAGGGGTGGGTGCGGCCTCCGCATGATGCAACTGGCCCATGGGCCAGCAGTTTGACACCCCTGTCTTAGAGGATGGAGGTTGAGGATCTAACAAGAACTCCAGAAAACTTTGAGAGAGCAAAAGAAAAGCAAAGAACAAAGTTCCTTACCTTTCCATGTATCCAGGCAGAAATAATAGTTGCTGACAAGTCATTTAAAGCCTAAAACTTGTTTGGCTTTGTGCTTCTTAAAATCTCAACCTGTATTTTTTGATCATTATAATTGCCATACCTGTGATCTGTAACGACACTGTATCACAATAATATACGTCAAATTTTAAAATGCTCTTAAAATAGAGTGCCCATAAATACTCCTATTCATTGGAACAATAAATAGGAAATTGGAAGTCTGACCAGGTTTATAATGATTTTCAGTAGGTATTGTATGTTTTATCCAAAATAATCCTTTATCAGAAAGCAAATTATAGGTTATAACCGATCATTAAGTATTGGAGAACTATATTTTCAAAATACTTATGTTATTTCCTAAGTAAAAATGCAATCAGTATACAAAAGTGGAACACAACTGTTAGGTTAGAGAAAAATCCATTATGATCAGTTCAGCATAGCTGCAATGAACTGTAGATAATTCATAATTTAAATTCCTGGTGTTTCCAGATAAAGGATGGAAAGAATCCTGGAGAGATCTGGTTTACCAATACAAAAAATATTGAATTAAGCACACGAAATATCTAGTTTGGTATAAGGTAATTTCCATTATTCCTGTAAAACAAATAAATGCCACATTAGATTTATGGGCCAAGTCTTTGTCACCTCTTAGCAACCACAATGAGTTTCCCCATGATAATCTGTTCTTAACCTGGCCTTTCAGCTCTACCAACAAAGTACTCATTGCTACTGAGTCTATTCACCTTGCTCCTGGTTGTCCTCATCTTTCCTTCCACCTTGTCCAGTGAGTTAACACTCAACATAATGTGTTAGAACAGTGGTTCTCAACCTTTTTAATGCTGCGACCCCCAACCGGTCGTAAGTCGAGGACTACTCAACTGGTGCAGCACCGTTTGCAGAATGGGACTTTTGGCGGGCTCAGCAGGGCAGAGACAGCCTGGACAATTCCTATTGGCTTTTGAAAGCCAATAGAATTAGACTCTATTCAAGAGAGTCTATTCTATTGGCTTTCAAAAGCCAATAGAATAAAAGGGAGTAGCACAGCTAAGGAAAAGGGGAAAAAAATGGCGGACTGCATTGTTTGGCGACCCCCGTGAAATGGTCGTTCGACCCCAAATGGGGTCCCGACCCACAGGTTGAGAACCACTGTGTTAGAAGGATAATTTGAGCCTGGTCATTTGTGCCTCTAGACAGAACTCTGGGTTGATTTGATGATACATTTCTTTTCTTGGCTGTCCATGGTATTCCCAGCAGTCTTCTACACCAACATTCAAGGATGTCCATCTTTTTCCTATCCATCTTCTTCAACTTTTGCTTTCATAGAATATCATAGGGGATATAATGATTAGCATGATTCTGGTCTTTGTAGGCATAGGCACATCATGGCATTTAAATCAATAATTCCTAAAGAGTTTGTATCTGTTCCTTATCTATAGGGTTAAAGAAACAAACTTAATCACAATTGAACTGCAATGCAAAATGAGGATCTTTTCTAAGGCAGCCATTGTAGACATTGGCTAAGATCCAAAGTTATAATTTTAGATACCTAAAAAAAGAATGATCAACCATCTTTCCATTCCAGAACATAACTGAAATTTGCTTTTGAAAGTCATTTTGTTTTGAGGAATTTTTGATCCTCTCTGAGCTTGCTTGTTTTGTTGCAGACATTTCATTACCCAAACTAACTAACATCATCAGTGCTAGTAGGGATTGGGTGTGCTCTCATTTTACAGTGGCTTGCCCCGTCGGTGTTGGTGGGAGTGTTCTTGGTGGTTTTCTGGTCAAGACTGCTTAGTGCCTTGGTTGGGGTAATATCTGTTTCTTGATTGTTGGTCTAATGATAATTGTGATGTTAATCTCTGGTCATCTGGGTGTTGATTGCTGGTGGGAGGGTGTTCTGGTCCTTTTTGTTTCTTTTTTGGCTTGTTGATTGTGTCTCTTTTGAATGGTACTGTATATAGAGGTGCCTATTGATGGCTGATTTGTCAGAGTGCCAGGCTTCCGAGTATTCTCTTGCGGTTTTGGACTTGGCTTGATCTAGGATGGTCACAGTGTCCCAACTGAAACCATGGCTAAGTCTATCCATACGTTGCAAAATTCAGGATTTTTCATCATATCTTCTGACTGTTGATTGATGTTCATGGATGCACTTTACTAGTCTTCTGCCATAGTGCTATGGCAGACCTTACATTGTACAGTGTGGATGACTGTTTTTATTCCTGGGGCTGTTGGATCTTTTGGTTTACTTAGGATGTATTTGTTTTCACATTCAATTTACCATGTAGCATGAAGGGATTTTTTTTTTTGGGGGGGGGATACAAATCAAAGGCATAGAATTAGTGGAACTTTTTTGTAGGGGTGTGTGTGAATCCTAATTGCATATAGATTATGCCTCAGACAAATATTAGCATACTGAAAAGTAGTCCAGATAACCCTAGAAATATTTTACCGCACTTTCCACAATCACATATGCAGGTTGAAGGGATGACTGTGCAGGTATTTATTATAAAATTATGGTTCCTAAGCAATCCCACCCTTAAATGATCAATGATAAGGGATATTTTAAACAAACATGTAAATTGTTTAAATACATAAAGAGTAAAAATAAATAATAAATGAATAAATGTTGGTATTATAGTTCATCAACATTAGGAAGGCTGCAGATTTCCCTTTCCTGCCCTATGGTTCCATCTGTACCAACATTAGCTTTCAAAGTGAGTGGATTTATGAT